TTCGTCGGAAAGAACCCCTTCGTGCTGAACTACGCGTTTTTATTTTCATGAATATCTGGACTGAAATGCTCAATACTTGTGCAATTGATTGTTTGATTGGATGGAGGATTTCATCATGAGCTGACATCATTTAAAGGACCACTGGAAAACCAGCTGAGAGTAATGCACAGCTGTTTTGTCCTAGTTTGGGACCGACTCTTCGTCAGTACGGGGTTCGAGCCCAGGACTTTCTGGTTACATGGCGAGCTCGTAGATCATTGAGCTACTGGGACCCGATCCAAAGGTCAGTCCTAGAATTCTAACCTTTGCCGATTCATGACATAGAGCAACCACTTCGCAATGTCTTCTTCGACGAGTTACTACTTCATCTTCAACCTGGATCGGGTTCTACTTGCTCAATGGTCTACCAACTCTCTGACCTTGTAACCATAAGGTCCTGGGTTCGAACGCCGGTGTGTGCGTACTGCTGAGGAGTCCCAAACTAGGACAAAAGAACTGTCCAGCATTCCCAGGTGGTTTTCCAGTGGTTCTCTAACTGATGTCGGCTCATGTTGAAATCCTCCATCCAATAAAGCAAAATCCCTACAAAATCAATGCTTGATAATTGATTGTTTTTTTTCGATGATGCCCTAAGCCGAACCTGATGACGCTGTTTTGGGCTAATAGTTGAATTCAGATAACGCGTTTTTCATCCTATTTTCTAAAACTATAGAGTGCCCACATATCAGTATTTATCAACCTCATTCAACAGCTGTATGACAGCACAACAAGTCAAGTGATTAATAACGGAAAACTCAGTGAAGTCATTGAAATGGAAAAGGAAACAGGAGTAAGATGGGGCCGCCTACTGTCACCGATGATAATCCTAATTGTGGTGCAATGGATCACGCAACACACCGTGAGGATGCAAGAAGACAAGAATACGCCGGAATGACCAGAAGACTCTAAGCAACCTGGACTTTGCCTACGATTTATGTTGAATAGTCACATTAACCAACAAGTCGGTAGAAGAGGCTGGCAGTGAAGACAGGACTTCAACTGAACATAGAGGATACAGAGGTGGTGAGGATAAACTAACCAATAATTAAGAAAATGTACCAGCCATTATCAATGGGAGGAATTTGAAGAAGGTCAAATTCTTCCCTTATCCGGCCGGCTGTGCAGCATCATTTCAACTACAGACAATCGGTACGGATAAGGATTTGATAAGCTGGACCTGAAAGACACAGAAATCTGCTGCAATCAGTCTACTGAACAGTGAATTGCATTTTCAACACCAATGTTAAGTTAGTCAGTGTTGTTCTTAGGAGTGCTGTAGCAGCCGAAGAATAGAACCCTCGGAGAACTACATGAGGCATGCTCGTCAAACTCCCGTGAATGCGTACTGCTGAAGAGTCCCAAAAACTAGGACGAAACAGCTAGCTGTCCAGTACTCCCAGTTGGTTTTCCAATGGTTCTCTAACCAATATGTCATCTCATGATGAAATCCTGTAACCAATCAACCGAATCCCTACAAACTAATACTTGAATATCAATGAGATGCTCGCTGGCAACTGGCTCTGTTCAGTTACCTAGGGTTCCAGTAAGAAGTCATGTCCAGTAAGGTGCAGCGGGTTGGGTGTGAGGATAAATATTCACCGAAAACATTGGCTAGCGGTTGCACTATATCGTGAATTGGATCGAGTCCCAGTGAGTTCATGGTCTACGAGCTCGCTTTGTAACTAGAAGGTCCTGGGTTTGAACCCCAATGACTGTGTACTGCTGAAGAGCCTTAACCTAGAAGAAAACAGTCGGCTGTCCAGTACCCTCAGCTGGTTTTCCAATGGTTCTCTGACTGATGTCAGCTCATAATGAAATCCTGTAACCAAATATTTTACCCCTGAACTTCCATAAGGAATTTTGAAAGACGAGCATCAGTAGTTTTTGATCGACACTTTTTTTAATCATATTCAGTCTCTATGGATGCACATTTCGCCCCATTAACATAAAGAATCGGAGGCGGAGGGCGGTGTGTCTGCGGGAAGGGAAACAGCAAAGGCCAGAGAAAACATATTGGACACTTAACAACTAGAGAAACAAAGATGCATAGAAGACTGAATAGCCTTTCTGTGCATCATGCGCCTACATACATGTCAATGTGAACAGTTTGAATGCTTACATCAAAACGAATCTTTTCGCCTTATTTATATCCATATATATATATATACATCGGCGAATGGAAAAAAGGGAAGCAGTGAATAGGCTTCCATCACTAGAATTATTATTACTATTATTATTATTATTAGTAGTAGTATTAGCATCAGTATCCTTTTGAATATAACCATTATTCATCTTGTCAACAGCTGACATGCTGATCAATTTATTTATTTTTTTTATCAGTAAAGAGCAGTCAACATATACAAATGCATTATCATCCATTCTCCGCCTTCTTCTCCTTCTCGTTCTACTCTTCTGCCTCTTACTTCAACTTCTTGTCCACTGTCAGCTCTTCTCACCACCCACCACCCACCACCCACCTTCTAGCCGCCATATTCCACCACCTTGTCATGCAACGTTATCATCCTAATGACTAGGGAATGAAGCATTTTTACATAAAGTGTTTCCATTGTTAAACGAATCAATATATTCTACCAATATTACTATTATTATATATTATTATTGTTACTAATAGTATTATGAAAAACAGTTTACATACGCTTGGCTGATTAGATTTTTAATAATGAGACATGTATAAAGCAGATGAGGCAGAGAAGGCAAGAGAATAAGTGAGGTAATAAACATAGCCATAGCGAAATGGAGACGAAGAGATGGAAGAAAGAATGAAAGAAGGCTGGATAAAGTGACAAGAAGAGCAGCTGAAACTGAGGGAAAATGTGCGTGTGCGTGTTTGTGTATTTTTTCACCACCCTCTCCTTATTTGGTTCTTTGAATGGAGAAAGTTTACCAGTTAAACAGTTTCCCACAGAGAAGATTTATTGAAGAGAATAGATAGAATGCGGATTAGGGGGGGGGGCAAAAGAACACGATGGTTGACGGTATCTACCGCGGTATGTTGTTGTTAAGTGATTATGTCAAAATTGTTCAGTTTTGAATAAAGATCTTCAGCAACAGGGGCAGTTGAGGCGGAGAGAGGAATTTATTTCTCTAAGTAAACCAGAAAATAGGCAAGCAACCTAGTTGGTTTCATTTTCTCCGCTAAATGAAGTATACACGATACGATAATGAGAAGATACTGTTGTCTACAGAAAGGGAAATAATAACTGCTGAAGATTGTATTTTAAGCTCTTTCCGCTTATTAACTGGAAAAAAGAGAGAAAGTTGGGTGTGGCGCTAGTAACCAATCCTATTAGAAGATAATAAAACCAAACTTCATCTCAAACTACAAAGTAGCGAAAACGCAAATCTTTATCGATGGAGTTTCAAAGACTCTTCACCTCGAAGACGGATGATGTTGATGAGTGGAAGTCTTTGGGGGAAATAAGTCGACCAATTTGACTTAAGTATCGGCATGATGTTTTAGGCTGTCAATAGCTCAGTGGTTAGTTTATTGGTCAAGTAAATCATGGATTAAGAGTTCAGTTCTCTTTTTGCGTCGGTGATTTAGCGGCAGAATGCTTATTGACCATTTCTTAAATGGTCCAGTGTCCGACCACCGGACAATGCATTCCCAAACTATGGTGCCTAGTCACCGGTAGTAAGTCCAGGAAAGAGGAAAGTTCATCATGAGCCTAGGAACCCCACCCTGTGGAAAAGAATGACAACAATGCTGCCGAAACTTCAAAGATTAAAGCTGAAAACTCTGTTTTCCACTAGGAACGTAAAGGGACATAATAATAAAAGGATTTCAACATGATGAGCTGAAATTGGTTAGAGAAACATTGGAAAACCACCTGGGAGTACTGGACAGCCAGTCATTTTTTCAGCCTGGAACTCTTCAGGAGCACGCATCGAACGCCATGGTTTTAACCCACGATCTTCTGGACACAAGGCTAGTTCGTAGGCCATTGAGCCACTGGGACCCAATCCGATAGCCAAGTCATGAGTTCTAACTTCTGCCAATTCATGATATAGCGCAAATGGCGCTAGCCAATGTCATCTCGGAACATGCTGTACCCCACTCCACTGGCCAAAACTCTAATTCAAGGTTGATTATTAAAGGTGATGGAAGCACTTTGGATTAATCATCACATACATCCTAAACTATGTGTACAAAAAACAATAGACTTCAACCTTCGCCTACTATGGGGAGTATACTTGACCTATTATAAAACATGACTGGTCATTGGTGTGTGTATTCTAGTTTGGGAATCATTGGCGATACACACCCACCACTAGGGTTAGAGAACCATTAAAAGCCACCAGGGAGTACTGGACAGCTGTTTCATCCTAGTTTGGGAATCATCGTCAGTACACACCCACCAGCAGGGTTTGAACCCAGGACCTTCCGGTTACAAGTCACGCTAGCTCGTATACTATTCAGCCACTGGGACGTGATTCAATCGGTATAAGTTAGAATATCATATTCTGCCGAAATACACCTGTTGGTTCATTTCCTTTCCTCTCTTTGACATCAAATCTCTCCCCAACTCTCCGCTAGTTGATGATATTTTTGTTTGCCCAATTAAAAGTCTCTTCATTTATATACTACTGATAAATCTTGTCAGTAGTACATACTCTACAACAGTAGTAGTAATGAAAACAAACACCGACACAAGTGTAACTGATCTTTCAGAGACAATGTCATCAGAGAATAATGGCCTAATAATAATAATATAGCAATAATGTAAGAGCTGAATAAAATGAACTGAACGATAGAATAAATCTGGAATAATAGAGGACCCGATTCTTTTATTTAATTACTACCGATTTTCATTGAGTTCTAATGACACTGTATGATGTTTCATCAGATAAAATAAACAGTAATAACAGTCATAATAATAATTATAATAATAATAATATGAAAAACAGAAAAAACAAAACAAAAGTTAAAGAATACTCACTTCTCCAGCACTGACAATTTGATTCGGTTTCAGTGTTTTCACAGCCACAGGAACCTCTTGACCAGATGGTGTTCTATACAATCCTTTGACAACATGACCAAAATTTCCTCCACCTTAAAAGGCGAAACAAAAACACAAAAGTCAAGGTGGAAATGTAGAAGTTGAAACATTGAAATGATGAATAGACAGAATTCAATTTTCAATGTATGTTGTTTTTTTTTAATGAAAACGAATGAACGCGACAGTATTGAGAATGGCATCAGATTTGAAAATGAAAAAAGGCGGCAATTTTGAAAAAAAAGCATATCTGATTTCTACGTCTAATAGAAAGTAGAAATCTTCACTCTTTTTGTATGCGGAAATCATTAAAAATAAAAATTTTAGAAAAAAAAGTTTGAATGCAAAAACAATAACAAGAATTTGATTTGACACAGGCAATTGAATCATTTCGGTTGAATAATAATGGAATTACTTTGATTGGTTGTCATAAACACATTAATTTTGATAATGTATGCTATTTGAATAAAGCAAGAACAACAGTGTGTGGTTTGTGCAGAATAAGAAGATGGTACCTCATCATTGTTTATTTCGTTGACTTCTCGTCAGCTGTTGCTTACAGCCTACTTCTCAAGGAAACAAAGTCTCTAAGAATAGCGCTATTACCAGACATCTCCTCGATATGGGTCATGAGGTGGAAATCGTGAAATCCTTTAAAATTATCAATAGACGAAAGGAGCTCGATTCTTCTCAAGTTTGCCGAAGCTATGTCTATCAAACGCTTGTAACCAGATTTATGTGTTCAGAAAAAAAGCAGTCTTTAGTCTCTCGTTGATCTGGGAACCGAATGTCTTTATTCTCACAATTGACTACGTAATCTTTGTCTTTAACCTCACCACGCTTTTATAATCTGTAACTTTCCTTGTCTCTTGTTTCTATGATTTGAGTTGAATTCAGTACATTGTTACTTAATTTATTAGTCACTCAGCATCTTACGCATCTCTCGTCTTTACTACATAACTCCTTTACCATTGTATGCATGCACTTATTTTGTTTAAACTTGAACTGTCTGTGTGAAAACGATACAAGCTCCATTGCCTGAGCACTGTTCAGCGATTGTGGAACCTTCTGCCACTAACTGACATCATGGAAAATTTGCAGCCTTTCTGTACATATACTTAAAAAAAATTGATTTAGGCTGTAAACAGCAGCTGATGAGAAGCCAACGAAATAAACAGTGATGGTACCATATTATTGTGCAAAAACCACATACTGTTGTTCTTGCTTTATTCAAATTCATGAAGGGGAATAAGTGCAAGAAATATATATATACCATTTGTACAAATCTTCCATGCTTTCATACTTCCACCTCTCATTTTGTGTTCCTTCCACGTCTCCCATGTATTTCTCTCCGCAACGCTGTATCATTTGCTTTCTCTGACATTAAATTTATCTGCCTGCTATTTGATGCTTTTTATGCCTCCCGATGAACGTCTCTTTATATACTTCTGATAAATCTATATGTGATATTAATTATTTTGCCATTTGACACTTGATATTTAACTATGGTTATAATCATAAATATTTTGATTGCATTTCATACTACTACTACTATTATTATTATTTTATGTATTCACACACCTTTGTGTAAATTTCCTCATTAGATATAATTTCTTAATATATAAAAAACCATATTATTATTATTGTTGTTGTTGCCTTTAGTTCCTAGAGGAATATATGGCTTCAGCCGCACGTCTCCTTTGCGTTCGATTCTCTGACAACGTTTTCATCACACGGCTTCACATCTACCCACATGCCTTCATCTCCTCTTCGCATCACTTCCTCCTGAATATCACTCGGGCACTGACGACCAACTAACTCGCCGCTTCTCATTCGGGTTTCACTCGAGCGATGGACTGAGGTGTGATGTCACTTGTTGGTGGCTTGTTTTCTCAGAGTATGGCCAATCCACCTTTATTTCTTCCTGCATATTTCTTGCACAATTGGTTCATGCTGGGTTGATTCGTTCATTGCCAGAGATCCCTCAATGTTGCTGATCTTTTCTGGTCGGCCATCTGATCTTGAGTAGTATTCAGCGAAGACAGAGTTGTTGATAAAGGTCTTTAGTTTGTTTAAAGTGCTCTTCATGACGCGTCAGGTCCCTGATCCGTACGTATAGTAAGTAGCACTGACTTCACATTGGAGTTGAAAATCCATATCGTACTTTCATTTTCATGTTGAGTGCTGTTAATCTGCACACAGACGTGAGAGAAATGAAAGCTTTTCTAGCTTTGTCGATCCTCGCTTTGATATCCTCGTCAGTTCCACCCGTCTTTAGTTTAAACGATGCTTCCCGGGAAAGTAGGTAGGTAGGTGAAGGAGGTTGTTTCCTTCAGATTTCTCCCAATTATGCTGGCTGATTGTTCTCTGCTGTTGTTGCTGTAGCTGTTGGCCAGGAATCTTCATCAAGTACCTCTGTCTTCTCTATGGTCACCTGAAGTTCTATCTGTGATGCTTCTTCTGCCAACTTATTGCTTTTCACTTGCATATGTTCCAGTTTGCGGGAAATCAGAAAATTTCATGAGGATTAATTTCTTAATATATAAAAAACCGTATATATACATGTATATATATATATATATATAATTCCTTTACGTTCCCAGTGGAATATAGGGCTTCAAGCTGGAGGCTTAGTTCGGTGAAGGAGTACGTCGGTGGCCGGGGGTCGAACTCCTAACCACATGAGGCGTGGCTGGCGAGAATTCTACAGCTGTGCCACTGACGACGGCTCCTCGACCAAGAATCGAACCCGGTCCTTCCACATGACAAGTGGAATTATATATATTATTATCATTTGATTAAAGCTTGATTCCACACAGTATTTTGGTACAAGTATGAAATTTTTGACCCTGTGATAGTGGTGGCCCAAATTTAGCAGACCGACCACTGATATCAAGTATGCATCGGCAAAGGGATCGAACCTCAGACCATGTGCATGGTCGGTGAGCGCTTTAACCACTGTGCCACCGACTGCGCATATAAATACCAAAGCGAAAGAATATTCAGGGGGTGGGTTGGGGTGAAATAAGCTTAACAACACCTTACCTAATCTTTCTTTCAGCGTTACAGTTTGTGAACTTAACAGAAAGTTGGATGGTGGTAGCTCATCATAAATTTGTTGAGCATTCTCAGGACTGATTGCATTAGCCCAAGCACTACGATTTGATTGAAATTGTGGGGATGGCATTGTCATCGGTGGGTTACAATTTTGTCCTTGTATTGAATGGTGACAACACATGGCTGAACAAAATGTACTCATATCTGGCGACGTGATTGATTGTGTCCTGTTGGGATTGATGACTGTTGCTGCTGCTGTTGCTGATGATGGTGATGATGTTGTTGATGAGGTACGTCGAGTTAAAGTTGGGCTTATGAATGGTAGAAATGGATTATTCCCTATAAATGTAGATACATTTGTTGCTGTTGCGGGTGTTGTCGTCGTTGGTGTTGTCGTTATTGTACTAGTTGGTGTTGCGCTGGAATTACTACAACCACTAACACTACCAAAAATACCACCAATAGCACCACCAACACCACCTCCTCCAGTACAGGAACCACCACTGCTTGATGTACTCAGTGCATGATCTAAAAAAGGAAGATATAGATTTAATAATAATGACAACGAACTGACTTCAATTAGATAGATAACTGAAAACCACAGAACACTGGAAATCTGTTTTGTCCCTATTTGTGACTCCTCAGTAGTGTGTAGCTATTGGGAACCTTCAGAATATGACACTATGCTCGTTGAGCATTCAGCCACTCGTGATTTAGCTCTGTCATTATAAACCTAGGCTCGTAATCTGAAAGTCCCAGGCTCGAACCCCGGTAGGGTAGTGGGTACACACTGATGAAGAGTTGCAAACTGGGGGGAAACAGATGGCTACCCACTACTTCCTGGCTTTTAATGATCTTTCTAAATGATGTTGGTATTTGATTATCTTGTGATTCATTATATGATTCTTATCTTGTGACCAGATGACTTTGACTGACTGTAAAATTTGATAATTTCTTACCTTGGTTCTGGTCCAGTCATTGACCAATCAGAATTTTTATTTTTTATGGACGTATCCGAATCGCCTATCGATCAGAACAATCTGTGTTTCATTGTCCTGACGCCATTATTGCATTAGGTTTGGAAGGAAAGAAAGCAGCCTGCTAACTAGGAGAAAGATTACAGGATTTTCATCATGAGCTGACAATAGTTAGAGAATTATCAGAAAACCTGGCACAGCTGTTTCGTCCTAGTTTGGACTCTTTATCAGTACGCACCCACTGGGATTCAAACCCAGGACCTTCTGGTTACAAGGCGAGCTATTTCGTAGACCATTAAGCCACTGGGACCTGATCCAATGGTCCATGAATTCTAACTTCTGCCAATTCACGACATATCGCGACTCCCAGCCAATGTCTTCAGCGAGTATTTGTCCTCACACTCGACCAGCTGCACCCTATTGGTCACGACTTCTCTCAGCAGGTCGGGTGTGAGGACAAATACTCGCTGAAGACATTGGCTGGGAGTCGCGATATGTCGTGAATTGGCAGAAGTTAGAATTCATGGACCATTGGATCAGGTCCCAGTGGCTTAATGGTCTACGAAATAGCTCGCCTTGTAACCAGAAGGTCCTGGGTTTGAATCCCAGTGGGTGCGTACTGATAAAGAGTCCAAACTAGGACGAAACAGCTGTGCCAGGTTTTCTAATAATTCTCTAACTATTGTCAGCTCATGATGAAAATCTTGTTACCAATCAAATCCCTACAAACCAACGCTTGCATAGGAGAAAGATTACCTGGCGAAGAAGGGTGACCTGGTTAGGTCTCTGCAAGAACTGGTGTGGAATAATTCTATTGTCCACGTCAAGTAAAATACTAAGTCGCGTTATCCTGGAGAGAATTAAAGGTACACTGGATGCAGGATTTCGCCAGTGAGGAACAAGTTTGATTTAGGAAAGGCAAATCATGGGCTGTTCAAATGGCAACGCTACGCATCGTTATCATGGAACAAAGCATAGAATGGCAGGCAACTCTGACTCTATAACAATTTCATTGACTTGGAAAACGTCTTTGACAGCACTGACCGAGAAGTAATTTGGAAATCATTATAACAGTATGGAGTACAGTGCCCCAAATCTTTATCAACCTCATTTAAGAGCTATATGACAATGTCACATGCCAGTCAGATGATCCACAACGGAAAACTGGGTGGGGTGTTCGAAGCTAAAAAAGAGTAAAACAAGGGGGGGGGCTACCAATTATCATCTACGATGATATTCCTAATTGCGATAAACTGGATCACGCGGAAGACTGTGTAAAGGGAACGAGAAGACAAAAATACACTGGACCGATAAGAAGACTCTGGAAGATCGAGATTTTGCAGATGATTTAAGTCTAATATCACAAAAACTGGAAAACTTGCAGGCGAAAACCAAACAAGCAGAAGAGACAGGCAGTGAAGACAGAACTGCATTTGAACCCACAGAAGATGGAGGTGATGAAGATAACCAACGAACCGAAATTAAAACAACAACTACAACCAGCAATAATTACCATCAACGGGAGAGATTTATCACGAGTAAACCTTCTTCACCCATCTACCCAGGAAGCACAGTTTCAACCACAGGTAGTCAGCACGGATGAAGATGTGAGTGCAGTGCAGAAGATTTCCAAACTGGTTTCAGATTGGTGAAGGTGTATCTTGCCTTTCCAATTCTGGCATAAAGGACAGGATTCGGACTTTGGTCGACACAGATGTCAAGTCAGTCAGTCACTACTTCTATATGGGTGAGAAACTTGGCTAATGTATCAAGAAAAGCGTTTCTAAAAAACTGACTTTTGTCAACAGTTGGTTTTTCTGGCTACATGGCTGACCAGAAAGAATTACGAAGAAAATACTCTGGCTGAAAAGAAACCAACCAAGAGTCGGTTGATGAACAGATATATATGTAGGAGAAAACGGAGATGCATTGATTAGGCATACGCCACTGAGAGGGCCATCGAATGATATTGCACGCGATGTAGACCATCGCTCAAGCGGAACACCAGTGGGAAGCGATGTGTGGGTCGTCGGTGTGAGGGTCAAATGGGGAAGATCATGTGTTGGGGAGGAGGATGAGATGAGAGATTTTAGGCAATAGTAGAGCTAGCCAGCTGAAGAGGATCGCATAAAATAGAACGAAGTGAAGATGTGTTGTTGAAGTCCTATGGTCCACTCGAAACCCTAGGGAATAATAACAGTGGTAATAATTTATAGATATGATGCACCATTTCCTAATAAAAACTATTATTTATTATTATTATTCCTTAAATTCCTAGAGGAACATAGGGCTTCAGCCGTGCGTCTACATTGTGTTCGGTTGTCTGCTAGAAATTTCACCTGGCTCCATGTCTGTCCGCACGCTTTCATCTCCTCTTCACATGACCTCCTCCAAGTCACCCTTGCACTGACGACCAACTCGCCGCTTCCCTTTCGGGTTCCACTCGAGCAATGGCTAGTCTAGTGATGGCACTTAATGTCTTCCTCAGAGTATGACCAATCCATCTCCATTTCTTCCTGCCTATTTGGTTCACAATAGGTTCCTGGTGGGCTTGCTCCCACAGGTCCCTATCTCTGATCCTTTCTGGCCATTCGATCTTGAGTATTGAGCGAAAACAGCTGTCAATGGAGGTCTGTAGTTTGTTTGTGATGATCTTTATGATGCGCCAAGTCTCTGATCCGTATAGTAGCACTGACTGACTTCACATTGAAGTTGAAAATCCGGATCTCAGTTTTCATGGGGAGTGCTGTTGACCTCCAAACAGACTCGAGAGTAGTGAAAGCTTGTCTTGCTTTTCCGATTCTTGTTTTGATATCCTCATCAGTTCCGTCCGCCTGTAGTTGAAACGATGCTTCCTAGGTAGGTAAATGAGGTTGCTATTTTCAGATTTCTCCCCTTTATGCTGGCTGATTGTTGTCTGTTGTTAATGCCGTTCCTGTTGGCCAGGAATCTTCATCACCTCCGTTTTCCCTATGTTCAAATGAAGGAAGTCCTATCTCTGATGCTTCTTTTACCAACTTGTTGCTTTCCACTTGCATATTCTCCAGATTTTGGGAAATCAGACATATATCATCGGTGAAGTCCAAATCCTCCGAGTTTTTTGTGTGAGTGCATTTTATGCTTGTTTCCTCATTGCCCACTGTTTGTCGCATTATCCAGTCCACTGCAATCAGGAAAATCATTGGCGATAGTAGGTAGTCTTGTCTTACTTCCGTCTTCACTTCGAAGGATTCTGTAAGTTTACCGTTGTGGATTACTTGGCATGCAGCATTGTCGTACAATAAAAATACTGTTTCCTAACAGTTACAGGTCAGTCTTTGTCTTTTGATATGTACTTGGCTAAGTGAAATGGGCGGTACTAAGAACGAATACGTGTATTCAGTATATAATTTGAGTTTTTCCTTTGCATCAGTGTTATTATAATCACGTTCATGTCAACCTGATAATATCAACTGTCAACGAGATCATATTAATTGGCTACAAATACATATCAGAAATTAATCCATAATCCCTACAATTTCTATAATCTGATGATCAAGATTTAGACATAATGGAAAAGATTTTTAGCTCAAGTGTATGATTTTGGTGTAGTTGTGTTCTCTGAGCTGGATGGTTTATTTGTTGCTAAACCAATAAAATCACTTAACTCACCACTGTGTCAACCTAAATACACCAACAGCGAAAGAAGATAAAACCAACTATTGAGAAAAACACGACATTGGCCAAAGTGAACATCCTCTTCGTCTTTTTCGCATCTATGAACACCAACTATCCATCAAAAGACATGATGACATACACTCCCTCACTCATATCGCCTCACTGCATACAGAAAACCACGGACATCAGTTAGACTGGGACAACGTGCTAATACTAGACAGAGGAAACGCCAAGAACGCCAGAGTTTTTAGAAACCTGATATTCCAGGGAATCGTCTATCAATAGATACATTGACACAGACAAGGTTTACCACTCGATAAGAAGGAAATCCCGCGCACACAAGGACTCAAACTTCACGTCAAGGAAACAATCAATACCAATATAAGTAGCCTAGAGGGTGTGAAGACACACACGAAAGCAACCAATCACATTCAAAGTCACCCACCAGGAGAGATGACCAAGTGTTTGCACTGAAGATGTTGTCGAGTACGGGGGAGGGAGGCCATAATGAAAGCTACGTAAATATACCATTCAGCTAGTTCAGAGAACACAACTACACCAAGACAATCAAGATTGCTTAGCGCAATATTCAGTTCCCATTGGAAGATATATTTTCGGGTCTAAAGTGCTTTTAAACGAATGGGAATTCATCAACCCAGTAAGCAGTGAGGTGTAGTAATGCATCGGTGGTAGCCTAGAGTTGAACTGTCATATCTCACACGTGAGGTATCGTTGACAAACAGTTAAAAGCAATGGACCACTAACACGCTACCAAGTCAAAACCATCTTAGATATTCATTTAATGCATATAATACGTTTATATTTGGTAATTTTTACGGAAAATTACATTTGTAATTACAGCGTAATAAACAAATATATAATTAATGAATAAAG